CTGTTATGTGTGAAGGAGGTTGAATGTCAGCAAAACCTGCAAAGAAAACATATAAACTGAAATCTTCTGATTGTATTAAGTATTCAGCCTCTAACTCAGTACTTGGTGGAAGCACCTGTGGCAGACATTACTGCTGTGAGTCATTTGGGTAGGTCTGTACCAACTTTGTACAGTGGGATGGTGTAATATTTGCCCATTCTTCTTGGAAAATTTGCTCTGATTCTGACAAGTTCATTGGAGATTGTTGATGGACTTCAAGTTTCATCATAAATTTTCTACTGGATTCAAGTCAGGACTTTGACTGGGCCACTCTAGGACATTCACGTTCTTCTTTTGAACCCACTCCAATGTGGCTTTGACCTTGTGCTTCAGGTTATTGTCCTGTTGAAATGTGAATTTTCGATTTAGATTTAGATTCTTGGCTGACTCAGGCAGGTTTTGCCTGTACTTTGCATCATCCATGGTCCCCCTCAATCCTGACAAGCTTCCCAGTCCCTGCTGATGATAAGCGTCCCCATAACACGATGCTGCCACCATCATGCTTGACAGTTTGGATGGTGTTGACTTAGTGATGTGTTGTGTTGGGCTTGCACTTTGAATTTAGACCAGAAATTCCAATCTTTGTTTCACCTGACCACAAAATCTTCCACATATCTGCAGTGTTATTTACATACTTTGTCACAAACTCCATACGGAATTTAAGATTATTATTTTTCATTAATGGCTTCTTTCTTGCCACTTACCCATACAGACCAGCTTTGTGTAGGGACTTGGATACTGATGATGTATGAACACTGACTGCCATCTCAGACGTGGAACTTTGCAAATCTTTTAAAGTCACTGTAGCATCCCTAACCAGTTTCCTACTTGCCCGACTGCTTAGCTTGGAAGGGCGGCCTGATCTGTGTAGTGACTGGATGGTACGAAGCACATTCCACTTCTTAATGATGGACTTCACCGTACTCAAAGGGATAATCAGCGACTTTGAAATTTTCTCGTAACCTTCTCCTGATCTGTGCTTCTCTATCACCTTATCCCTGACTTGTTTAGAAAGCTCCTTGGTCTTCATGGTTTATTTGTCATATCACTATGTGAGTTGTTGTTTTAACAGATATATTTACTCTGAAGTTAATTAAACCACTTTGATTACACACAAAGACCATTACACCAATTTTGTGACTTTTCCAACTAATCTTTTGTACCTCACCTTATTTAAGGGTTACTGTAGCAAAGGAGTTGAATACTTATGCAATTGAAAATATTCTAATTTCCTTTGAAAATCAAACTTACTTACATAATATCAGCATTTTTTTAGCTTTCTCAGTTTGGAGTAGATTGTGTAGATTTTAAATATAAAGTCCCATTTAAAATTTTCATGATTGCAAGCTCAGATAGCACAAAAATGTGTAAACTTTGCGGGGGGGGTAAATACTTTTGCAAGGCACTGTAACATGTTGGTCAAGAAGGTCATTAAGTTACTATTACTCTAGCTCCATAGTGTTCTATATCCATCCCGTAGCATATCACCTTTTGTCTTACAGTGGAGAAGATAGCTGCAAGATCATTAGTAGTATGTGAAGCAAGTTACCTTTTCTACTGGTAGGCAGATGATCCATTGAAGTTATGACCTATACAATGTTTCATTTTGAATGACCTGTCACGTGGGTAGCACTAGTCATTGTGGTTAAGTCTAATGTTAAATAGTTAACTAAGTAACATCAAACTTATTCAGTCTGGAACAGGATCTCAACAGAGTTGGCCTTGTATACAACCTCATCTAAATAAGCCAGAGAGAACTTTAATCCTAACACTCCCACAAAGCGACTGTCCATTGTGGCAAGTGAATTACGTCTTCACTGTATTTGTTTGAATAAAGATTGTTTATTGTGATTGTACATCTGTCTTCAGACTTTATTTCTCATGAACTTGACTGTTCAGATAAAACAGAATTAACTTGCAGTAAACATTCTGATGACTATAGTTATTAGACAGAACTTTCTTGTAAACCTTAGGGGAATCTGTACTGTCTTAAAATACCACATTGTGATAGAAGATACGCTATTAACAATTATTTATAATGTGTTCAAATAGCATTAATATGAGCTATATATTTTTTAGTGTTAGCTAGAGGTCAATTATATTAAGATCAAGTTAGTCCTAGAATATACAGAAATAGTAGGTAACAAAAGGCTTTGTAATATACTTGGAAAGTGGATCATATTATATATGTAGGTTAGCATGTGGCTAAGGAAGTATGCAGTCAAACACAGAAGGCAGAGTTGTTTTCTGAAAACACTATCTACTACCAAATATGAACTACACGTATTACCACTACTGGTGTACTACCTGTTATTGAAGGACATTCCTGTACTGCTCCAGCCATGATACTACCACATCCTACTCTACAATTTAACTGACCAGTACAACATCTACCACTGGAGTAACAGTTGATCACAATGGGAAGGTATCATCGAAAGCATGCCAGGCTTAGTTGGAAATTATTTCTAGAGCGAAAAGGTGGAATAACAAGCTGTTCATTTTACTACCCATTGAAAATGGTAGTAACTTTCCAGCTGAGACCCAGAAGAACTATCAGTAGCTTCTTTATCCACAAGTTTAGAGTGACACACCACAAAGAAGTATCCAGAGGATAGTACTAGAGCAGGATACAGAGAAAAGAAAAAACCTCAGCCAAACTTGCAGAAGATTTGACAAGACTTGCCCAATTATCTTATCCTCGTGAAATAATAGATTCATTGGCATGTGAACAATTTATATACACCATAAGAAATAAGTATATTTGAATTATTCTGAAGCAAAGTAGATGTACATCTTTAATTGTACAGTTCCTGACGGAACTAGAATCCATTAAGATTGCAGATAAACAACTAAGAACAAAGTTATGAAATCGTCAGGTTGTGTAGTATTGAAACATCATCTTGCTCTGAAGATAATCTATAAGAATTAAAAGAACTGGCTAGACAACTAGTTACATGGAGTTAATGAAATAAACCACTAGACAATAAGTGTTTCTTGTATAACTTGAAAGGATATATTCTAAGGAATTGCAGACAACAAGTTTAGGAAATAAAAACACTCAAATCATACCAGAAAGATGGAATTGTTATAAATGTGGTAAACCTGGCCATTACAACTGAGTCTTTGTCAGTAACCAAGAGTTGTTAAAACACCAGGGTGACAATACCCTAAGTATGAGCCTTCGAATCCAATCAGGGTGCACAGAAAACCGTAATTAGCTGAATGTATGAGGCAAAGTTCAGTTGAGAATACCCCATCTTCCCCCAATACGATAAGTTGGTTGGTTAAAGAAATTTGTATATAGATTAATTGATAGGAAGTTTTGAAGTATGTTGATTGACACTGGTTCTTCAGCTACAATAGTTTGACCCAGTTTAATAACAGAAGGTAAGGAATTGCTTCTAGAGATGAAAGAAGAAGTGACTGGCATAGCAAATGAACATAAAGTTGGAAGTTAGCCTTACTGTGGGAAATTTCTCTACATGGTGTGGGTAA